AAATCTGTACATTTGAATATAAGCCTCGAATTGGTTTTTAAATAACGATTTAATTGCATACCACGGCCTCCGTCACGCGGCTGCAGCAATGATTCTTATCTTGAAACTTATTGAAAAAGGGGCGAATTCCTATCAGGCGTAAATCAGCACCAATGTGTAGGAACGCTGCTAGATCTCTTTTATTGCCCACTTAAAGGCGATTACAACCGAAATCTATAACTACGATTCTATATTATTATTTTATTATACGTATAACTAACTACCTATATTAACGGTTTAGTAAGCATTCATAAGATATTTAGTAAGCATTCATAGTTGACTACTAAACATTATAATTTTGAAAGATTATATAAAAATAATTAAAACCGCAAATCAATCAAAACTGCTGGCCCATATATACGACTACATTGTGACTCGGAATTAGTAATGGTCAATAATTATGTTGCATTGGAAAGCACAGAAAGCTTTTTCTATGGAAAAGTACAATTTTACAATTAAAATGACACCTCAAATGTGTTCAAAACTTAAATACTTAAATTGTATAAATATAATGTATATGTCCTGCTAATTATACATTAAGTATACAATATGTAATCGAATGATACCTCAAAACAAAACAAGAAAAACTTATATATTATATAGAAGTATAAATAATATACCACGTAATATTAAGAACAATAACTAGAATTCACAAATAGACAAACGGAAATTGTATTATACGCGAGAGCACCAAATGTATCATATCATAAAGTTTACGTTACACCGTATTTATTGGTTCGCCCATTCTTTTCCCGGTTGTTTGGTTTTGTACGTAACTACGGTAGTTATAATGGGGTGTAATGAAAGCCAACTGCTGCTCTAATTCTAAATGCTTTTGTTAGACAAACAACATACCTTTCCGTTATATCTTTGTAGATATAGATCTTATACTGCTAGTAGACCTCATTAGCAGCGTTATCATACATATTAAAAGCTCTTCATTTTCTTAATAAGAATCTACGATTACAATACCTTTTGAAATTTTCGAATATCGAACGAACGTAAATGATAAGTAGTTCCCAACGTAAATGTTAAGTAGTTCTAGTATAGCAAATAAATTGATTTGCACTAGAGAACCGCAAATGCTTTAACTATTGACAACAAAGGATATCTTATTCGCTTACAGGTGTCATATTACAAGAGCGATAATTTGATTTACCCTGTGTCTTAGTGACGGTTGAATACACCCTTTGCGTTGTGGTTGTTTACACAAGCAAACGTAAGCTCAAAGGAGACCGTTTACTTAGCATTTGATTACAGAAACGCTACTGACAGTATTATACCAATGTCCGAGCTAATTGCTGGCACATACCGACGTAGCGACAAGAGGCAATACCAACCGACCCCTCCCGTCTCACCTCTGTACTTATTCGATAAAGCGCCTATATATATAGGAAGTCATTTAAAGTCATTTGAGCATTTTTGCCCATATACCATGATCTTTCTATCGGTTTTTGTTTGTTATACAGCGAGTTGAATTACCTAATTAGATTAATTAGAATGTGCAATCAGCTACAGGGCCCCAACGAACTGGATATTTTTCTGTGCACCAGCCTGATTAATTATTATAGGACGGGCGTCTGTTAGCACTTGACTCTGATGTTCTTTTGTTATATACTTGGTTTCTTTTATAATCTTTCATTTATCTAAACTTATAAGCTTTACGATTGTGCACGCCATCCGCACCTTGTAATGTTAATTTTTTGTGGCTTTATTGGTCCAGCTATGAATAAATAAATTAATATATAATACATATATGTGTTTTTTGAGCATAGATAATTAATAAGTAATATACATATTACTAATGCCAACAACTGTTTGCTAAATAACTTTAAACCCCAGGAACACATAATTTAGTTCCGTTTATTTTCAAAATAAACATTTTTATTCTTGTGCGGTTTCATTCTTTTACCGATACTTACGTTGATTTGTTTGTTTTCTTTAAAACGTATTTAACGATGGTATTCGGAGAAAATGCTAGCATGCTTACATCGGAATTAAAATTTACTAAATGATTAGAATGTAATTAATAATTATTATTAGGTAAAAAAATTACATTCGCTTTATGTATGGTTTTTACCCATTCTTCATAATGAGAATATATTCAATAGTTTATACATAGTATCGTCTCAACTAGAAAGAATTTGCTTTTTAAGTGTCACGTTTATTTATTTTCAAACTGAGACCTTCTTTATTAGGTTAATACGTTTATTGGCTGTTTGAGGCTTATAAATACCTTTCCTGAAAATTGATAAAATTTTATTCCAAACACTGACGAGATGGGTGTTGATGATGACTAAACTTATGAAATGACTTTCATTTAAGTTACAACGAACGATAGATAATTATGTACCTAGGTAACACTGAAAATGTTTAGAAAATAATTCCTAATTTAGGCTGAAAATGGTAATGAACAAAAAATACTGGTATTATTGTGAAAAAGCGTGGGTTGCTCGATAGACGAAAAATATGGCACAGAGCGCCCCACGCTGTTTCACAATAATACCAGTATTTTTTGTTCATTACCATTTTCAGCCTAAATTAGGAATTATTTTTCACTTTTTAGTTTGATGTGCTTTAAAAGCGTGTGTTTTAGTTTTTTTAAACTATTATTTATTTTTTAGTTTAATTTTTTTTAATTTTTTTAATTTCTTTTTCGGATTATTGCATTGTCATCGATCTTTGACAGGTGCGCAAAGTTTGAATTAAATCTGTCCGTTAAAAGTAGGTCAAAATCGAGTCCGAAGGAGTCGGTTACATACATACATACATACAGGTGAAGCTAATATTAGGTCTTTACATATGAAATTGGCGTATTTCGTACTGGCCACTTTAATCACGATGTTCTCCTCTTTGGTAAGGAATTCCAAATTGAAATTTGTACAGCTATTTACTCATGTATTTGTGCTTCGATGACCGTCATTAATTTGTTTTTACTCCTGTATTTTTCTGTTTGCGTCACTCATTGTATAAAATGGAAAACTTAAAGTATCGCATTATTTACGAGTACGAGTTCCGCCGTGGCACTTGTGCTGCGGAAACGACTCGAAGGGTGAATGATGTGTATGGCGGTCATGTTGCAAAAGAAAACACAGTTCGTTTTTGGTCCCAACGTTTTCGTTCTGGAAATTTCGACCTGCAGAACAAGCCCCGTGGACGGCCTGAGACCCAAGTTGATAATGAAGTATTGAAGGCTATTGTGGGAGCGGATCCATCGCAAACCAGGTCCGAGTTAGCTGCAGGCTGCGGTGTTAGTGATAAAACTGTTTTAATTCACTTGAAGCAAATTGGGAAGATTAAAAAGCTTGAAAGATGGACCTCACGAATTGACTGAAGCAAACCGGCAGACGCGCGTCGACTGCTGCGTTACATTACTGAACCGGCACAATAATGAAGGTATTTTAAACCGAATCATTACCTGTGATGAAAAATGGATTCTTTACGATAATCGGAAGCGCTCAGCGCAATGGTTGGATCCTGGCCAGCCAGCCAAGTGCTGCCCCAAGCGAAAATTAACCCCAAAAAAGTCACTTGTAAGCGTTTGGTGGACTAGTGCCGGCATTGTTCATTGCAGTTTTCTCAAATCTGGCCAGACTATTACGGATGTCTATTGTCAGCAATTGCAAACCATGATGGAAAAGCTAGCGGCTAAACAACCTAGGCTGGTCAATCGCTCCACGCCACTGCTACTTCACGACAACGCTAGACCACACACTGCACAACAGACGGCTACCAAATTAGAAGAGCTTCAATTGGAATGTCTAAGACATCCTCCGTACTCCCGGGACCTTGCTCCAACAGATTACCATTTTTTTCGAAATTTGGACAACTTCTTGCAAGGGAAAAAATTTAACTCTGATGGGGCAGTCCAAATCGCCTTCACAGATTTTATTGATTCCCGTCCGACTGGTTTTTTTTAGTAAAGGGATCAATGAACTACCTATGAGATGGCAAAAGTGCATAGAAAACAATGGTTCATACTTTGATTAATTAAATATATTATATTTAAAAATATTCGACTTTTTGTTCCTCCCATACAAAACGCCAATTTCATATGTACGGACCTAATATAAAGCGTGTTATAAAAAAGTTGCCAATACTTTTATTGTTTTTCGAAGTAATGTCCGTTCCTCTCTACACATCGTCGCATTCGATGGAACCACTGAGAAAAGCAGTGGGCCCATTCTTCCTTAGGGGTCTCTTCTATGGTATTTTCGTAAGCTTTCACCGCATCTTCAGGGCTCGTGAAGCGAATACCTCGAATTTTATTTTTAGTTTATCAAATGCAGCATTTGAGTCACCGCCGTTGAACGTATCTAACATTTAGCGACACCAGTCCATGCGAAGGTGTTTCTGGTCGTCGGTTAAAGTATGGGGAATCCATCCGGTACAAAGGTTCCTGACGCCTATATGTTCGTGTAATATTTTTTGAACTTGACATATACCAATGCCCGTATCTGCTGATAGGCCACTCTCTTATGCTCCTCTATCATGCATCGCAGCATCGCACAGCACTGATGTTATCTTCAGTAGTCGCTGTTAAAGGACGTCCCTCACGCGGATCGTCATTGAGATTGCTACTTCCACGCTTAAACTCGTTAAACACACTGTAAATAGTGGGACGAGATGGGGCTTCATTAAGGAATGCTAATCGCAGCCTATCATAGCTTTGTTGTTGAGTAAGCCCACAACGAAAATCATAATAAATCATTGCCGCAAATTCACAAAAACAAATGAATGGAATATACTTCATTAGGTTACCAAAGAGTTCTAGAATGGAAATTAAAAAAAAATTTCATTAGTAATGTTTCTAACTGGCCAGTTCTAAACATTTTCAATGGTACCCACGTATAAATAAACAATTTTAATAACAAAAACTTTCTTACGTTTCGCTGTGCGACAATTTATTTGTTTGAACAATGACTAACATTTAACTGCTATTTTAGAGTATTCAATACGCGATGGAGGGTTTCCTACATCATATGGCGCCGCAGTTCCTGCACCCTGCCTTGCAAAGCTTTGGATGTGGTGCATTTCGGCCCATCGGTGGTGCTTTTCATCCCCTCTACCCTGGCAAAGCATTCGCCAGACACCTAGGAGAACAGTACGCACTTGGACAAAGCGTTGGACAGGCCCTCAGGGTAACATAAAATTTATAACCTCTATTGAAAGAAAAATGCTTAATTACGCGGTCAACTTGGGGAATTACATTAGAATGAAGAATATACGCTGAAAAATATGTAAATCGTTATCGTACACATTTTTTATAGTAATTTATTTTTTATTCGCCGCCGTCGCGTTATCTATACAAATAAAAAAATGTAAAACCCTTTTAAACCTATAGAATGTTCGTGATGACACCAACACGCCACCGCTATATCGGCACAGCTATGCCGTACGAGACGACACCAGTTCTCCTGGATCTGCAGCCTCAGCATCCCCCAGACCCTGCAAGGATGATGAGACGACACCTGCTACTCCCTGCTCTGATTCTCATGACTTATTTTCACGTAAGTCGCCGAAACGATATAAAGTAGCTTTATATTTTGACAAAAGACTACGTATGATAAGTATTTTATTATAATATTATTTATTCACATAGAAAAGTTGTGAACGTTAAAAAATGATGGTTTTGAATTTATGTATATCTTCACCATACTTTCTTATCGCCAAGTTTTTTGAAGTTATACTTCTTTTGGCGCGTTAGGGAAAAATGATGGGAGTAAATTTTTCGATGCGGCGCGCACACATATATCCGATTTTATATATAGTCAACTATATATAACATTTATATAGAACATAGTCAACATTTTAGTTTTTTCGCCAAAGAAGTTTAACTTCTAAAGCGTGTACATGAGCGCACACTCGTTTTTTTGACGAGACTATGCAAGCAGTGACTTTTTTCATCGCAAATCGAACCGTTTAAATTACATTCATGCTATGTTTCTTAACAACATAACATTCCCTCATTACATGCATCAACAAAATTCCCACATTAGTAAAAAAAATAATTCCGAACAGCGGACGGTGAACGAAAGTCATCTTGTGGAGTTTGCGGCACCAGGCTTGGTCCAGGAGTTGCTCAGGCCCACTTTTTACAAGAGCTGCAGCATCTTTATAGCTTGACAGCTTTACCTAGGGATGTGTCCGCACCTCCTACTCACTCGCTTCATCATCAAGATGAAGATGCTCGTTGGGAGGTAAAAATGAATTATAAAAAACTTCAGTAAATTATATATGCGAAAAGGTAGAAACTTATTAAAAAGATACACTCTTTTGCATTTGCATTATTTTATAAAGACTTTACTGAAAATTTTTTTGTTTCCGAGTTATTTCAATCAATACCTTAGCAGTAATCTCAATACATATATAATTTAAATAAACATCTTTAGCTAGTATAAATTATTCAATATGTTTACTTAACAGACGTATCAACGAATCCGTGCAAACCGCCAGCGGCGTCTCAAACTGCGTACGCGCAAGCGTCACCATACAGTCGAAAGTATGTTGGGCTATGATTTAGAAGATGAGCGGCGAGAGGAAAGACCGCGTGAGACAAGGTCCTACGATGCTGAAGACGAACCCGTTGACGTTGAGGGTGACTCCTTGGGATGGCCAGAAGCGGCGATCAACATTGACGGTTACACTCTTTCAACATTATAAAATTATAGAGTTTGTTTGGTTGAACACTAATGTTGTGAAATACTTGTTCGAAGATTATGTGTGTATTGTATAGACCATTTATCGAGGAAGGCTAAATGTAGGAGTTACTTAGGACAATAATGGGTTATTACTAGTGACGAGTACCTACCTAATGCATTTTAACATAAAAATATATACTAAGATGCTGATTCGCAGCACGATACAACTATACCACAAGTATTTTCTTTAATCAGATAAAAAATATTTCAGATAAAGAACAGCGTGGCGATAATGAAAAATTACATTTGAACTATTCCGAGGATTTAGAAATATCGAGTACTAACGACGCGATGCAGTCGCCTGAACGAGTGAGGTATTTTTATTTTTACATATGGAATTTATTACAGTAAAAGTGTATTTAAAAAGTTATCTTGTTGATTATGAATGTTTAATTATTAGTTTTTGCTTTCAAAGGACACCTTTATAGCAAATTAATTAAAAATATTTGATGATTTAAAAGCAATATACGTAATCTTTAATAAAACTAAATGCCTAGTAACCACGTTCATATTTTATTAATGAATGTTTGTATCCACAGTTCTGTACCACGGATGGAAACTCCAAAACCGTTATCTCTTGAATGCACAAAAATTGAAACAGCCGAGCGACCGGCCGAGGTGACCACTACTGAGTGGGCCAGCGGAGCTCCACCGGAAAACTGGCCGACTTTGACCGAAGCTTATGTGCATGCTCGTCACAAATTGGAAGGCGAGATGCCTTCTTCTACCGATTCACGCAACTAAACACTTCACTGGCTCGTTCTCGTGTATGCAATTATTAATTTCGTAGATAATCCGTAGCAGATTGTAGACATCGCTCAAATACCTTATTACATTAAATCAACCCCAGATTGAGAGTTGAGCACAAAACATAACATAACATTAAGTATGATTTCTGAAATCATACTTATTGCGAAGTCTTGACTATCTCGAATTGTTAAAAATGGAAAACGTTAGAAACAGTATTCTTATGTATGTACACGAGAATTAATCCTGGTCAATTAAATCTAGCCGCAATGGAGTAAAATTATTTAACTTTTTTTATTCATAGCTTAATGGGGAGTGCCATGGAAGTGCCAATTACCATAGCTTCGAATTAATATAGTTTAAGCTGTGAGTAAAAAATCGTAGTTATAGCCAAAGAACTCTACGTTTCGCTATTGCTAATCTCCTTTGTATAGTCTCATTTTTGCTGTATTAATAAAACTTACCAGTAAAAACAGGAACCGTATATCGGTTTTTGTTGCTGTTGTTTTTACGTCATATTAGAAAAAATTAACTAGAATTATATACTCACACTACTTTAGAAAATATGTGTATTTAAAAATAATATCAACACTTACTACATGTTTATAGATATAAGATTTCTAATGGGCTAACGTGTAGAAAATATGATTTGTCTTCCTTTAAATGTAGCACTCAGATAAATTATGTAATAATTTCTTTGTATAATAAAAAATTTACACACATTATAAACGGCCCAACTATGTAAGTAGCGCGATTTACGAAAAATCAATAATTTATCTGATTACAAAAATATTGTAAATATATATGTAATGCTTTGTATGTTTAAATATCCGTTCGTATAATATGCTATTTATTAATTAGCAGTTAATCTTATTCATAAAAACTAAACCAAGTAGACCATGTCGTCTGTGAAATTGTGATTACGCTAATCCTCAGTTTTAGTCAGTCGAGACTAGGCCTTGTAACTCCCGTTATCCCGTATATCAAAAACGTTGTGACATACTTAGCGCCTGGTCTTTGAATTTTACGTCGGATAAAGCAGTGTAGACGAGTTAGTTTTTATGAAACAGAAATAAGTATAGAACTATTAACTTTTCTTGTTGATGTTTAAACTTCTATATTAAGGTCACTTATCGTTTAATAAATTTTAAAATTTTTACTATGCGTACTTATGCTTAGTTAACCTTAGCTTAAAATAATGTTTATTACACAGTAACGGGTTGATGAACATTTTCATTAATTAATGGGACATTAGTGAACCTTCTTATAAAAACTGTATCAGTGTATACTGACCTCTTTCGTCTCACCACTCAAATTGGGTTTACGATGTGATGTAAGAAAATAGATCTGGGGGCCTACCATGAGCATTGTTGAAATGTTCCAGTTGAGGTGCTGATGAATTTAGGTTCCTAAATTAAATATATTTTTTTTGACTATAACCTTTTATAAAGTGAAACGTATTGAAATCGCAAGACCAAACAAAAGAACGATTATTTTATTGCAGGTTTTAACGTCGGTCTGACATTTAACTGGTAAACTTGCTTCGACAGATGATTCTATGATAATTAATTTAATCCTGAAATGTTTCAAATAATTCGTCAATTACAACAAGCTTTTATGTTTTAAGTACATATATAATTACTTAATAAAAATTATACTAAAAATATATTTTAAGCGCAAAGTTCTTTGGTGTTTTGTAAGCTGACAGCTACATTTTATACGTTTTTAAAATTCATGAAATATTTTAATAGGTGTCATCTAAGTGATTTTCAAAACTTTAGTTTTACAAAAATTTAACTAAAATATGATGGGGTAAGTATTCTTCACTATATTTTTTCTTTTTCGGTAAATAAAAGGCTATATCGAAGTGATTCCTGTGAAAAACTACACATAACTTAAGTTAATAACAACTATAATAATATATTAATTTTAATTGTACAAATTAAATTAATACAATAACTAATTTATATAATACTAGCTGACCTGACAAACGTCGTTTTGCCATGTATATCATTTATAATAAGAAATAGGGGTTGATCGTAGAGGGGTAGAAATTAGGGGTTGTATGTATTTTTTAATGCTGTATCATAAAAAAATAAAAGATAAAATTTTTATCTAAAAATTAAAAAATTATAATTTAGGGGTGGACTACCCTTAATATTTAGGGGGGGTGAAAAATAGATGTTGTCCGATTCTCAGACATACCCAATATGCACACAAAATTTCATGAGAATCGGTGAAGCCGTTTCGGAGGAGTTTAACTACAAACACCGCGACACGAGAATTTTATATATTAGATAAACGGTATTAACTTATTTCCAGCTCCAACTTGACAAACTTTCTGAATAAAGAGACTAATTGGCGAAGGATAGCCCCAATATATTTAATTCCCATTAAATATTCTCTAAGACACGTATTTCTATCTAGATGGCGTAATCCAAAATAAATAAATACTGCGTTTACATTATTTTTAAATGCCTTTTATTTAAATATTATTCATATGAAAAATACCTATGTTTATTCAAACAAACTAAACAGCAGATAAACACAATTCATGAACACAAATAAGTAAATAATTAACCCTGAGGCGTCTGTCTGTGTGTATGAGAGATAAATTCATAAATTCGCCGAAACACAAACTAACACCGATTCTTGTACAGTTTTCCTATAGTATTGATTCCTAACTATGCAGGTATGCAACACTATTCCTTAAAAATGTCATATATTATTTTAAACCAGCTTCCGCCCGCGTTGTTTTCATGTATTTTACCACAATTTCTTGCGACCTCTTCAACGATAATTCCGTGTATTGAAATATAACACACCTAGACCTTGTTTTAGAATCGTATACGTACAAACTAAAAGCATAGACGCCACCTGGTTCTTCATTTTACAATAAGGTCAATTTAGGATAAGAATGTTATATCCTGGTATTTAATATAATTAAAATGTTCTATTGTTCTTCTCTGATATTTTGTTTAGTAATACGTAAATTATAGCCGTTTGAAATTATTCTAATAACAGTATTTGTTAGTTTTATGTTAGGATCACCCAATCAAGGATGTCTTCAGGCAATATTCAATTGAGTATAAACATATATGCATTGGGGCTCTTGTTTGCCAACATGTGTATCAATTCTGGGAGTTTGTCAAGTCAAGTTTGAGCTTAAAGAAAATATTATTATTTATATTATATGAGTGAGTGTATAAACTACATTTTTACAATTAAAAGGAATTTGTTTACTATTATCTTACTTATATAATAATAAAATGCTACATATGGTTTATGAGTTACAAGTTGTTTTGTTGTGCATAGTTTCACGTCAAGAATATAGGTATTTATTTTTGAAAAACAAACTCGTGAATAATACTTACTATTATAATAGGTTGGGGAAAAAGTTTCTTCGCATTTTTTAAAAAAATTAAAAACATTTTTTAATATAGTTTATTTACATTTAACTAAAGTATGTAGGTACCATTTTGTTCGATAACTTTTTGCCATCATTTAGGTACGACATGATCCCATTGCTATAGAAATTTTGGGGCTTCTGATCAAAATACCGCGACAATTGGTTTTGGCAGTCCTCTCGTGATGTTAACCTGACACTGCCTAAAGAATTCTGAAAAGACTGAAACAAGTGGAAATCTGAAGGTGCAAGGTCCGGACTATACGTCGGATGCATTATCACCTCCCAGCCAAGCTCTCTTTTTGCTGAGTGGCTAAAGATGTGTGAGGCCTAGCGTTATCTGGATGAAAAACTACACCCCTTCTGGTGATTAATATTCCGGCCGCTTTCTCTCAACTTCTTGCTTTAATATCATCAGTTGTTCGCAGTAGAGTTCAGAATCGATGGTCCTGCCTGGTGGTAACAGCTCATAATGAATAATGCCCTTCCAATCCCACCACACACACAGCATCACCTTGGCGAAACCCGGGATAACTCGCATCCCGGGTTTCGCCACAGTCTGTGAAGCCTGACCGGCCTTTGACCACGACCTTTTTCGCACGTTCTTAGTCGTACGTGATCCACTTTTCATCATCAGTTATCAGCTTTTTCAAAAATGGTTCGGTTCCATTAAGTCGTAATCAAGAATCAAAAATGAGTACATGGTTCATTAGGTTTCTTACAGTGAGCTCGTGAGGTACCCAAATATTGAGCTTTTTTGTGTACCCAGTTTTTTTCAAATGCGCCAAAACTGTTTTGTGGTCAATTCCCCGTTCTTCAGCTACGTCGTAACTACTGATATGCCGATCTTGCTCCACTTTTTCAAAAATGGCATCCATTTTATCCGTCATAGGGCGACCAGAGCGACTTGGATCTTTGACATCAAAATTTCCGGATTGAAAACGCTTAAACCAAATTTGTGCTACTGTCACAGACACTGCGCTAGAGCCATATTAACATCGCAAATTTTTTTCGCGGCTTGTGTTGCATTTTGACCTTTTTTGTAGTAAAATTTTAAAATGTATCGAAATTCTTCATTCGATTCACTCATCTTGACGGTACGAAAAATAAATAAAAAACAGACATTATCCTAATTTGATTTTGGAATTATCTTCTTTAAAATCTCAACTTTCCTTGATAACAAAACCAGCCAGATACATATAGCCAAAGAGATTTTATTACAAGTTCATACATACTATAATGCGAAAAGACTTTTTCCCCAACCTAATATTTATAAAATGTAATTAATTGTAAAACTGTAATTTTGAAATATTCTATGATATATAAATTAATAAAAATTTGACGGATACGTTTAAAAATTTACGTGTTAACTAAAATAGAATAGCACCAGTAAAACTTTTCGTTTGAAATAATATATCATACGAATTATTTTTAATACTTATACTAACAAAAATTTACAATTTTTTTTTTATTAATATCATTCAATATCATAGAATTATCTGTCGAAGCATGTTTCACAGTTAAATTTCAGAACACACAGAAACCACAAAGTTCCGTTCTTTTGTTTGGTCTTGCGATTCCTATACATTTCAGTTTATAGGAAGTAGCATGAGCTCGTACCATGAGGTACGACAAAATGCGATAGAATTTAGGGGAAGTGAATAGATACTCATCAGCATCTCAACTGGATCTTTTTAACAATGCTATTAGTAGGCCCCCATGGAGATTTATAGCATTGTGTATTCATTCACTTGGAATATAATAATGTTTTTTCTGAACACTGTTAACCTAGCTAAGGGTGTGACTTCCACTCTGAAGTCCTGCGTTCTAATCTTATGTGCAATTAACGATTTACGGTATAAAATAAAAACAATCAACCCGGAAAAGAGTGAACAATTTCATTTCATGTTTGGTTGCACCGTTTACATACAATTTCCAACAATCTCAACTAGGTTTCAAATCGCTCAACTCTGAAGACTAGCATATCTAGATCTCATTTACACCTCCAACCTTTTTATCTATTAACTATTTCTAACCCCCAGTTAATTTTTAGCTGTATGCAACATTTGTATTGAGATATCCCAAATATTCCCACAACCTAAATTATAGTAGTAAATATAAAAAAACACGGCAAAATTACACAAGTACTTTATTTAAATTAAAATTTTACAACTTATACAAAGCTTGCACAGTTTTCATTAAAAACAATAAAAATATCAAGAAGGGCTCTTGCAGATGGCTTAAGTGTGATTTTTAAAAGATAAAATGTGGATTTCTAAATTTCTTTAGTATCTATTTTATACAACATCTGTAATGAAATTTCAATAATTTCTCCTTAAGTCATGTTTCAAAACAGCTTGAAACCAACATAAAATTACCAAATCAAAAATAACCCTTTTCGTTATTTTATTAGCTACACCTATTAATTCAATAATATATGTCAATTTGAATGGCCGCTATGATCGTAGGGTGTTCCGATCAAACAACCCATTACTTAAGACTCCGTCGATACTTTTATGTATGTTTTTGCTCATAGCAGCCATAGGTACTATTTAAGCTTGCATTATAAGCGCAGAATTAAAAACTGTCATAGGGTTGACAATACTACTTTTAATTTAGAAAAATAACAACAATATGCACTAACGCCCATCTTCGTTTGATGCAGATGCTTTCAGAAGTGGATCGATTAGTTTCTCCTGCTCGTCCACGACCTGCAAATGGGGAACGCGATTTTAATATTCAACGTGACGTTACTGGTATGTTATATTCAGAAAGGAGAGTTAGAGCAAACTATTAGAGCAAATTATGTATGTATGTCAAAATTAACTTTTTCTTATCTACGGGAGTCACGCTTAGTGCTTAGGACTCTCGTACATCATCGCCAGCATGTATCAGATATAATTAAAAAAAAATGCAATTAATAATTTATTCAAACATTTTGTACTAAGGTTTGACGCTACAGAAATAAATGTAGGTGATACGAAGTTCAACGGGACGTCTAGTATATAATAAAAAAAATGAATATAATACAGATCAATGAAGCCGATACAGAAATCTGAGGCCAAGACCGCGCTAATTGTATATACGCCTGTATAATATGCGCTGGCGTTGATTTGCTTTACAAAATGACAGATAGTTCTAAAAAAAATCCAGCTAAGACAAACCTTTCCAATTTGATCCGCGCGCGCAGTGAGTTCCCTCATCAGCTGTTGCTTACGGCTGTCTAGGTCCGGATCATTCCTGTCTTCGAGACTTTTGCATATTCTTTCATACTCTCTGTATAATTTCGCGTATATTGCCAAACTTTGCTTAGCCTCGTGACTCTCACTATGGCCCTTGGATGTTGCGTCATCTCTGTTCCTCGATAGACTGCTTAAACATGAGAATGTTTCTTTGAAAAAAAATATTAAATGTACTATTATTATACTCCTTGAATGTAGTATTTTATTTACATAAATTAAATAAAATTGCGTCTAATACCCTTGAGTAGGTCAGACTCAATGAATGTATTCTCGTGGTCAATATGAATACAGTCTGTTTTCGAATGTCTACGATTTTGAAAAATCATAATGGAGTTAATATCCTTGGAAGCATATTAAGCTGAGAAGAAAATCTACTACTAAAACTTAACTACTATGTTACTGTGCTTAATGTTTTTTTTTATAATTACTGTTAAAGAAAATCAAAGGCATTTAAAATGATTTTATTTATTTATTTGTATTATCCACTAAAGAAGCTATAACTCTATTCGATAAGTCATGTACCCTACACTAATTATTCTATCCTTGTTGGTATTTTCATGGGTCATCTACCCTAACAGAGTCATCTATGCCCAAATTATTGGTTCTGCAAAGCTAATTTCTGCAAAATGTATAATTGTTAAAAAAAAATTCATTTCAGGGTCATTAAATTAGGTTGTACCAGGTGATACTCGATCAAACATTATACAATACTAACAAGTTATATGTATCAATTTGAACCAATATATTTTATTCAGTCACCAAATTTTATACGTCGTGGTACTGTGTACGTGGGTAACACTGATTTTTTTAGAATTGGCCACATTGCTTATGAAAATTTTTAGAATTGGCCAGTTAGAATTGCTTATAGTATTGTCTTTTATCGACATAACTTTTATACATAGAAGAACATGTCTTTACCGGATTGAAGTTATGTATTTTTTTACAATTATTTTACATAATTTTAAATTTAACCGACGTTTCGCGTGCTTTACAGCGTGCGTGGTTAAACGTGGCGATGACTCAAATTTGACATTGTCACAGGTGCGACTTTAATTTATGCCCAAGAACAAAATATAAATTTCGAGGTCGCTACGAGCCCTGAAGATGCGATAAAAAGGTACGAAAATGCCATAGGAGAGACCCCTAAGGGAGAATGGGCCCACTGCTTTTCTCAGTAGTTCCATCGAATGGGACGATGTGTAGAGAGGAAAGGAGATGACATCGAAAAACAATAAAGGTATTGGCAACATTCTACATTAAGCCGTTTTTCATGTTCTAAAAATTTTCAGTGTTACCTGGGTATGACATTAATAATTTTAACAAACAAGAACTTACTTATACATTGAAGTATATATGTAGTTGGGTCGACTCATTGCACGCAGAAAACGTGGCACCATACCATCCCCTTCACTGTACATGTGCAGAAGACGGTTGTAGGGCATTACCATCCTTTTATATGAAGGTAGCCGGACTAAACGCCTACCAACTCGAAGAGCATTCATCTCTTGATGATCCAATGACAGAACCTTTATTGAGAAAAAACCCAATTACTTTTTCATAAAACCTTCAAGCGATAGAGGTTGGCTAAAAATATTAATCTATTATTCTTTTCAATTTTTTTGTTGTTTTTTATATATATACGAGGGGTATTCAATAAATACTGATAATGCGATACATTGTTTTTTTTAAATGACATTTGTTGGCACCAGTCAGATCGTGTTCTCAAAAATTTATAAAACATAGTGGGTAGTGTCTGAAAAAATGATAAAAAAAAGTTTAAAAAAATGGTTTGGCGGATCGTATGAATATCTATGTATATAGAAAGTGCATAATATTATTCACAACCGTTTGGGTATGAAAAAAGTGTCATCTGGGTGCCCAGAATACTGTCTGGTGCGCAGTAACAAACGAGACTGAGAATTTCACAAAGCTTTAGGGTTTGTTACGACAAGATCGTAACCGATTTTTGGATCGATTCATAACTATCAACAAAACATGGCGTCATCATTGGCAAGACATGGAAGAGACCGTCATCTTCTAGAATTTGGGCTGTTTTTTTCTGGGACAGCCAAAGGGTGTCGATCATTAGATCGTTTCGTTCATGGATTGTTCTTACAAGTTTAGGCAATTAAATCCTGTAGATGGCGGATGTAGTCGAATGATTTAAAGGCGATTTAATTCATATAGTTATGTTTGTAGCACTGTTATATATTATGAAAGTTCTCTTTTAATTTATTAAAAATAAAAGTATATATATAGCAAATATATAAAGAACAAAAGTATACTCACTGTGCTTCTCGGTGCAGTTGATGATATGTAGCCCAACCCTGTTATAAAAATAAGAAAATGTATTTTATTAATATACACAAGGGTAATTAATGCCTGAAAAAAATAACAAGGCCAGTGACAGATATTTCCTATAGCCCAGAAAATTTAAAATAAACTCACCCATATGATGAGCCATAGTAAAGGGAATTCCTGAGACCGGCTGTTGAATTTTCATACCATTCAGGACCTTAAAGTATATTTTTCTTTACATGACTACCAATATTTCCTATACCCTTTCTTATTTTAATTTGAAATTCGCTTTGTATGAGTTAGGTAGATTCAAACGTACGTACAATGTCAGTGAATTGGTAAGATGGAAGTCGAGAGTAATACCTGCTGAATGTTAACACCAATGTTATGTGAGGGTGCCGTGCTCTTGCTGACAACAAACGGTATATTCGAGGTACAACGCTGCTCATAGTAGCACCGCATACCAGCTTGCTTCATCTGAGATGCAACCGTCGGCATCTCATAGTGGTGACCGCGGTAATTAACACGGCGATGGACAGGCTAAAAAAAGGTTCCATAATAGATTCAAAAAGAATTTGGAAGGCGAAAAAATGACGGCCATTTTTAGTTGTAACTGGAACTATTGCCATTAATGGCGAAACAAAATTTGACTAAAGCTAAAACAAAAAATTGATATAACTTCTTAATTATTATATTACGAATCTGGGATATACGCAGAAATTTCACCAGAAATCGAACGAATAAATTTAAGATATTTTCTGGCCTATCCTTATTTTAAAGGCAAACAATGTTATACGTCATTTTGTCATAATTGCTTAAGATACATTTTGCCTTTTAATATAACCTTTTTCTTTTTTTGAATATTTTCAGTTTTCCCATCTTCAGTTCTGTTATCTTCAGATTGCTGCTCGGGCAGATGTCGCTAAATAATACAAAAAATTAGATCATTTTTCCCCTCATACAAAACAAAATATTGATTATTGTTGAAATTATTTTTAAACTACTTACTCGGTCTGGAGATTTACTTCCAACTTCATCATTACCGTCTCCACGAGCTGTAAATAAATTTTAGTTCATATTTTAATTAACAATTTAAATTCTAATTTTGATTTCTACATTATAATATCATCTACATAAGCATATTGTCTGTTTTACGAGTAACCTCTCTTTTTCTCATAGTCAGGTATAACAGTTTTTTGAAACGGATGTCGTTGCCACGACTCCGGCGAGGTGCTTCCACGGCTCTTGTTAAAGAGTTCCACAACAGGTCTCTCCTCTTCTTGACTCACCCCTGAAAATGTTATATTTGACATTAAAACTGTTATTTGATAGAAACTTATTATTTGAGTTACACTTTCATTCAGTTAATTTAATTATCAGAAAATCCCCTATCAATAATAAAAACGACTTTATATTTGAACAAAATGACCTGTGCTTTGCTGAATTGGCACTTGTCGGCGATTTCGCGGTGATACTTTGGCGTCCTGAGAGTAGTCCGGACCGTATGCCCACTGATTTTCTAAAAAAAAGAAGTTAAAGTCTCCGTTTAAGGACTTCGGACTAATCTTTTTTTTTTAATATAACTTATTTTAAGACCACCAACGAGTTTCAACACGAACTCACTTCACCTAACGACGCGATTTTCAAGACACGGGGCTAGGGGAATGTAGGTTTAATAAAAATGTATTCATTAATCACGCACATTCATTAATCTACTCTAAAATATTAACATAATGAGTAGAGTATCTAGGATTTGCTGAATAAATAGCACTAACAAATTACTTATTCTTATAAGTATAATTTCATTTGAACTCCAATTCGATGTTGTTCCGAAGTTCCGATATCAAATCGCGGACGTCAAAAACATGGAATTTTACTTGATACGAAGACTTATTGAAATCGGTATTAGAATTATGGAATCTTCTGACATATGGTCATTTGTTAAATAAAATTCTTATAATATTCTAAAATATAAACTTTGAAATGAAGGAATTTAAACTTGTTTATATCTTACGATTAATATCTTTAACGGGGTCTTTAGTACGTCGACGAGCACCATACACTTTTTTTGTTTCGCCTTTTTTCTTCTTGACCGTTATGTTTCTAGAAAAAAATAAATAATTCAAAAGTGTTTCTTGGTCTAAAGTAACTTCAACTAATCAAATCATACGAAACAATCAACCTATTATAAATTTGTTTATTTATATTATATATATTTATTTATAAATAATAAATAAATAGCGTCCTATCTTACGTGACCTACGTATGAACTCCTTGCGTGCCAGGCACTCCACGAATTGGCATTTTCAGACAAGGGACCTTCTCAGACAATATTTTAACAATCTTGTTTTATTTTATTATTTTTAATATTATATATGCTATTGTAGTCGCACATTTTGTTTTGTAACGAAATACTGTACTTTATTACCGGTAATGTGTGTATGGGACCTGTACCTCAGCATGGACCAATAGGAAGAAACACACCTGTGACATTAATCATGTCTATTTAAGCAAATAGATAATCATTTTCCTCCGTGTTTTCCTTCACCGTATGAGCAAATGAAAATTGTGCGTATAGAAAAATCCATTTGTACGTCCAGGATTTGTACGCAGGCCTAATTATAAATAAATAAACCACTTAGGGTTCACAATGGTTACCCGGGAAAATGATCGTAGTAGTGTTGACTGTCATTATGGTCAGAGTTATCTTGGATTACTTCATCATCACCGCAGGCCACCTCTTGAGGCTCACATTTGCCGGTTGATGAATCAATCTCATACATAGCTACGAAAGAAATCATAATATAATTTCTCTGAGTTTTTTTACTAATTTTTTCATTGATTTTTTGCACTATACCCTATTGGATAGGGCTTGTTGTCGGTAAATAGTATGCATATAAGCGACTTCGGTCTATATATAAAAGAGATAGGTATGTTTCAATATATTTAAAAAATGGTATCACAAAAAATTAAACTTATGAAATAAGCGATATAAACTCATGAGGAATCTTGGTTAGTGACATAAAAAAGATGGTATGCACAATATATTTAACAATCTCACCATCTCCTTCAGGATGACCTCGGGACATCGGTCTTGATTTCGGCGATTTTCCCGCTGAACTTACTTGAGGTCGCTGCGTTAAAGGGAGTTAAAAAATACCCACATTCAAAAAATTCATAGTAATATGTTTAAACTTCAGATTTTCTTTAGTCTACAGTGTCGTACATAAAGCTTACTTCAGATGTAATCAATCAATACGCATTTGAAAATACACTAGTTGAAAAATATACTCAGTATTCTATTAAAATACCTTTGCGCTGCCACACTTGTTATAATTGAATATATAATCTGCTATAAAAAAACATGATTTAAATTTGGGGCCGTAATTAATGATAAGGAATCGACTGATTGAGCTCGAGACGGCTTATGATTGATATAAGTAGTAAAATTATTATGTGACGGAAAAAAAGATGGTGCCATTAGTAGCTTAACACGACAGGTGTGTAATAATACCAAGTATCAGCTCATCCCTAAGGTGTTTTCAAGTTTAACCATCGTATTATATTATATATTATATCGTAGGTACAGTAATATTACCTGTGGTTGACGAAACATCTGGTTGTAACCCCGCACCTGTCCAACCATTTCGTGCTGTTCGACCATAGCTGGATCTAAATAGCCACGGGTTGGATTAGCCGGCATTTCCAGTCTTCTCAACCTAGCAGCCTGCGGGGACACCTCTGTAACCATCAAAACTAGTATATTGTTAATTGCGTATACACTACCTCACATAAAGTACACGTTAATATATAGTATAAAAGTATTAAAGGTTCTCAATGATATCAATGATTATACTTTGTCGAAGTAGCTGATTAGCCTATATGCCTTTAAAAACATACCAATCTTTTTCCCGACTTTAAATACTTAGAGGTCCATGAAGTTTATACAGATTAATAATTATCTTATTAGAGATGAACAGCGCTCCAGGGGTGTGAAAACTCAACGCTCGATTTCCAATAGAATTCGTATATACTATTAACATACAACTGAGAGATATGTAAAACGTAGTTTCAAAATTAACATTAACAGTTATGGAAATTAAAGATGAAAATTATGGAAATACTTGAATAAAGAGTGCTGTGATTATAAATAATTATTTATCCTTACTTTTTTTTGGCTGAGTCCGAACACTTATAAAGGGAATATTTTCACCAGCGACTGTCTGGTCGCTAACGCGTGTCATGCTAAATGAAAAAAAAAGGTTAATAGGTAACGTTTCCGGAAAATAACTCGACAGAGTCGTAGATAAACAAAGGCTTTTTAGGGTAAATCTCTTGCCAAGTTACGAGCTGAGACGTTTCAAGAGAAATATTTACAAAAAGGAAATTGTAAAATTATCCTTTTATATCGATAAAAGGATAATTTTACAAGCAGTTAAAGTCAGGCTGCAGCATGACAGCCTTGCTTTATATCTCGACTTGAAAATCTCCTTGTTTGACTGTTTTTAAGAAAATATTCGTTCTCCTCTTCGGCTTATTATTTAAATATTATATATTTTATTAAATGAATACCTCCGTTTTTTAAGTTTTCGCCTTCTTTTAAGACCTTTGACGGTATCAATTTTTTCTTTTAAATCATCGCACCTTGCTTCGGCTAATGTGAATTGATCGTCTACCTCCGGTATCGATGCTATTAAAATATAAGGGGTTATTAGAAAACTACACCGCCTCAGTGGCTTAATAACCAATCGATTGGTATTTTTAATGCGTTCAAGCTGAATTAAAGCAATTTGAAGGCACAGAACGCAGATAAATCTTCTTGCAGAAAAAAATATCATTGACATTAGGTAATATAAATTGCTCATTTTATTCGTAACAGTAACTTTGCATGGATCCAGTCTGAGATCAAAGAAGCAGTTGAAGTTCCGACCATCAAAGAAGATGAGAAATTAGTAGTAGTCAAAAAAAAAGTTTTGCGGAAGATTCTATTCTTGCCGGACAAAGAGGGAGGGTGGAAGCTGGAGACCTCGGATATCGAGACCTGATAGGCGAAACCAACATAATTGGTGAACCAAAAAATCAAAGACTCTGTTGGACCGGTCATCTTGAAAGATTCAAGCTCCAAGTGCCCGATTGGCAAGCGTATATGGCAACGCGTGCGATCGGCAAGGGTGGCGTTCTCTAGTTTCTGGAGGGCAAGGCTCACTTTGAGTCGCTGTGTGTGTACTAATCATTACAGATTTGCCTGTAAAACCCAAACCAAAGCTTACTCCAGAATTATATAAACCAAAGCGTTAAATATAACGTATAAACTAGTTGGTCGTGAGCTGATATATTGACTTATTCAGTCAGGGTCAATGAAAATATAAAAAAAATTATGCGTGTATTATGAGCGTGTAAATTTATTTAAAAAATATTCATGAATAACTATGAAGAGTGTTTCAGCTCAAAATATTATATTTTAGTATTTTGTATTCCTATTTTCCATCATTGTTTTTTAATTGACTAAGGGCTGATGGTGGCTCACCCCTTATATCCAATTTTCGTTCGGAACGTGTCCCTTCAATATTTCCTCCTGCAAGACTACTAGAACTTCTATGACGCTTATCTAGAAAAATATAATATAGAAAAGCATTGAGTTCGGAATATAGGGTACGGGAATATAAAAATATCCGTTACATTCTGACAATTCCATTATTTTTACCTTTTGTTATTTTTAATCCGTCGCCCATGTTAACTTGAAATTTTCATCACACAACTTGACCGCTTTCTTAACAATTTGAAAAGAAAGTGCCTTTTAATAGTAAAATATAAAAATTATGTTGATTAAAAAGCACTAAAAAACCATCCCGTCAATTATGTCAAAAAACAACAATTTGATTTTTTTATTGACAAATAAGGGCAACCTTACTTTTTTTATTTAAGTACTGGCTGGTACGTGTTAAATATAAACGCTCGCTTTCCTTAAATCAATCGCCAACGCCAAGATGTCGCGTCTTTACATATAACAGAATCGCTGTAGTAAATAAATACACGTGCGTGCGCGAAACACCTTCATGCGGCGGGCGATCGCCTGCAAAGTGCAACTGATCGTTTACATGGTCGATTTTAGTCACCAGTCGCATGCGGCCGGTCGCCGCGCGGCCAAAGTCGGATGCTACCCAACTTTGGGGTTTGCGGCTTTAGTCACTTGCGACTTAGCCGAATTGCCATTTAGATGGTCGATTGAAGTCGCGCGGCAAAATTCATGCGGCTTTAGTCACCCGTGTAAACCCCCCTATAATACAGAGCTCGCCGACGCGAAGGAGACGTTTTGTAGCAATACTGTACCGCAACAATAACAAAACGGGTGCGATGAAGTATCGCGCCATATATTGTTTTGCTGACTTTTCACCTTCGCCCATGCAACCACGATTCAGACAGCGGTTACTACAGTACCAAGGTGAATTTTATTCATAATGCTCTTTTTGCGTTGATTTTTTTTCTCAAGTATTTTTATTATGATTTATGCAATCTTATTTTCCCAAAATTAAACCTGTAGATAGCGAAACAAACAGCTGTGACTGGGGACATGACACGACTCTAAAAAGTGACAGACTTTGCTGTCAACTAAAACAACGGTTAACGCAAACGGCTAGTTTTTAAATTGAAATTCATACAAATATTTATGTTTTCGTGTTTAATTTAAATAATCTGTAAATAACTAAGATTTAATAATATAAGGCTTATTATCAACAAGAAATTATAACTAGTTCTGAAACTATACTTAATTTATATAATGGAAAACAAACCTAAGTTGGAGCCATTAAGATTGGCAGAGTGGGCGCAGAACGCTGGTAAGCAATAATTCGAAATATTATTCTTATTTTGATTTTGAAATTAATTAACCTGATGTTTACATTTGTGTTACAGCATTCTTTGCGAAAGCCATCGAACTTATTTCAGAGACAAAGCGCTCTAAGCAGTCGGACACTGAATCGAATCCAAAAGTCAGATTGAATCCTATTCCTCCTTCTCAATTACATTTAAGTTTTCAAGGTAATTTTTACTTGTTGAACAAAAAGAATAATTTATTGAATTAAAACAGTTTTAATTTTTTTAATCCTATAATATAATTAAATCTTTTATTATAGCATTAAAACCCAGTGGCATTGGACAGACACCAGTAAGACCAGTTACCTCGATAAAAAAAAGAAATGGAACTCCTCTGTTAAAATTGTTAGTAAAGAACGAAGAATGACAGAGATGAAAAACACTAAACTTCAATTCTAAGGCTAAGGTCAGACCTCATAAATAAAGTTTGATAGCATAATGTAATTTTTACTGGCTGAATGAAACATATTTAAATCTCTGACTAAAATTATTCATTTACACTGACTGAATATGACTATGTTGTGTTGCACACTATACTTATTTCAAAATGTCAATTGTTTATACTTGCTTAAAGCACCTGTTTTTTTACAAAGATAGGCATACCAAGTAGTTATAATTCAATAAGAACCTTTTTTATTTATATATAATATTAAATTTTTAGGCAACTAATACACGGATAACTCTTATTGAAAAAGCAACACCACAATTTCAGACATTTAAAACCCCAAAAGTAAAGAAAGAAGGATCAGGTAAACAATAAATATTTTATACTATATATAAGATACATTGAAATTGAAGCTTTCAACTTGGGAATTTACTGCTTCTAATATATTAAATAGTCATAGAGGAAGATACTTTAATTATAATAAATAATCAAAGGCTACATAGTTAAGTTAACCTAGAACGTTATGTCATATTTGTTTCTTATTACAGTTTTAAATAATGAAATTAAGTTAAGTGGAATAAAAAGAATTCTCATCACACAGATCAGATAAAAGAAATAGCACCAAACAAGTTACAAATAAACACATCAAAAGCATTCTTCGAAAAAAAGTTATTCAAGATACACCTCTCTCAACTACATTTCAAAAATCCTGTGATATGTGATAAAAGGAAATAGAAAATGACGTTAATATAAATGTTGCATTACCATCATCTACACCTTTTAAGGCTTCAAATGTTTTAGAGTACTTTCCAACATTTGATGCTGATTCTCTTCAAAAGGACAAAACTATTCTAGACTTTAGTAATGTGAGTGAAAATGAGAACCCGATACAACGATAGTTGCAGGAGCAATATAGGTCATTTATTACTGTACGGCATTTGCGTAATTCCTTTTGGACACATATACAGATACTTTACCCGTAAACGCCGTACATATTTCCAGCGGAGCGGTCGAAAGCCAAGGGTCGACCACCATCACTTTAGTACGGCACTAAGTTTTTCGACATTTATTTTTAATCATCTATACACTTATAACAAAGCCGTACATTAATAATTAGTCGAAATTCCCCAATTGTACCTGAGAAAGTCCATTCACTCACGTACTCACATGTACCGCTCAGAAATGACGACATAGTGCTCAGAGCTATTTTTCAGATATAGTAACAGCCTTCTAAGCGTAATTCACGTTGGGTCATTTCACAGGTATTTTTTGTTCATGGGCTTGTGGTCTAGTGGTGGTGCGCGGCAAAAACTGCATTAGAAAACGGTTAGTTGTGGAACGAAAGATGCGGAGGTGATACGGATGGTACCTATTGTATATTTTGCCTGGACATCCGATAATGAAACTCAGTCTGAATAATATATGTTACTTAAGCATAATATATGTAGCTTGTAAGTTGAAAATATGACATCCTTTCTTACAAAGTCCATTGAACAGCGTAATGCAAAGATTATAGCAATAAAGAAATCTTTGCCAAAATACACCACATACCTGAACGTCGACTGAGAAGTCAAACTTCTCTGGCGTGTCTTCACTGGCAGAGTCAGAATCAAAGTCATGTCTCGCCGTACTGGTGGGTTGAACTCGGACATCTCGTCTTCAGAAGGGCTATCAATTTCGTTGGCATCCACTTCTACAGTCTCGTCATACATTGGAAAATCATCGGAACGAACTTCTGTTAGTGACAATATCTGGCAGTGTTTATTGGGTGATTCTCTTATAAGAGGTATCTATGGTGGCAATCTATTTAAAAGTGGTTTTTTAATCTATACGTTGCTATTTTGTGCAATGAATCACATCACTTTAATGTCCTTTATTAAATAACATTATAATTAAATGTCTCATTAAAACATATTTTTGTAAAACTCGTTATATAGTCTAAAAAAGTCTCTACCCTGGCCTGTCCCCTTACCGGTTTTAGCTTAACTAGCATACAATACATACAATATTTGTATTATTTGCTTAACCAAACTATGTTTACCACAAACTTAATTAAATATACTTAAATATTATTAAAGAAAAATTGAAAAATATTTGCTTATTTTCAATAATTTTTAAACTTAATTGTTGTCCCGCTTTTTTTGTGTATCTACCCTGGCAATATTCGAACCCCTGCTACAGTATAAAATATAAGATGGCCACATTCCCGAACTCGCTCATTGACATTTAACAACGTGAAGTTAGCAATACTAAGCACAGAAGCGGTTAGATCGACGCCATTTGCCAGTTGTTGTGACGCGAACGTGCGATGCAATGGTTTCGCAAGGTCATTGTGTCTCTCCACTGGTAAGTAATAAAAGTTATAATTATCATTTTATTTATTTGCAATTCCTGTCCTAATTTAGTAATACTGTAATAGTCAAAGCTTGCTTTATTATAAGTTGAAAACTTTCTTGGATAAACCAAAATAATGTATTATGTTATGAAAACGTCTTTCCCCTGGCGTCTTTCCCCTGGTAAGATTACTACCAGGAGAGAGACTTACTGACCAGGGGAGATATGTATCATAGTAATTGTGCCACCTATTTATTGTCTGTGTGTTACACACGCCAATATTTTTTTTTTTTTAAAGACAATTCACACCAATTGACCGAGTCCCATGCTAAGCTGGTGAAGCTTGTGTTATGGGTACTAGGCAACGGATATACATACATATTATAGATAGATAGACATATAAATACATATTTAAACACCCAAGACCTAAGCACAACACCAAATGCTCATCACATCGATGTTCGTCTCAGCCGGGGATCGAACCCGGGACCCTTGGATTCGCAGTCATGGGTACTAACCACTAGACCAATGAGTCGTCGAATATGGATCTGATTCTTACACGGCACTATTCCAAGCCAAAGTTACATCAATTTCAAACCATCAAAATCTTCTTCGTATAATTTATAAAAATAAAGGACTTCAATACAAAGAATTTGATATTAGTAATCAAACTTTTTGCAGAAAGTGGCAATCCAAGACTACCAATATAACTGATCCTAAAACGAATAAGACCAGAAAGGTGACTAAATATTTGAAAAAGGTGATTCAGATTTATCTACGTGATTTGATTATGCAGTTAGAAGACAACTTGGAGTATTTTCTTCACCATGAACTGAATATAGTCCACCAACATTCTGCTTTTAAAATTAATAAGACAAATTTGACAGTAAGAGAAGCTGTGATTCACGTTGACCTTAGTGACTATAAACAAAATACGCAGAAGAAATTCAAGCATTCCATTTTGGAGGTGCACGTCAACAGATGACTGCACACAGTTGTAACTTACACGATAGAAGAGGCATCAGGTGAAGTAAAGACAACATGCTATTGTTCGATGTCACAATATTTGTTACATTCGCCTCCAGCTATATGGACATACAGCCAATTTTGAACAGCTTGCCACCAGAAGTAGAGATCCTTATTTTTTGGAGCGATGGACCCGTAACACAATTTCGCAACAAATACATGTTTTATTTTCTTGTCACTCATTTAATAAAATTTTACCCAGCTCTTAGAGACTTTACCTGGAACTACCATGAAGCTGGACACGGTAAGGGTGTTCTAGATGGTATCAGTGCTGTTTGCAAAAGATCAGCCGACCTATTAGTAGCTAGTGGCAAATATAATAATAAAGATATAGCCTGTCTGAGGGATTTGTCAGATGCTATTCAGAAAAACTGTCCTAGCATTAATGTTTTCGTTATAAATGACAAAGATATTTCAGACAAAGACGCTTTGCTTGCTAGTGGTAAAACACACATAAAGACTTTTGCTGGTACTTTGCGCGTCCATCAGGTGTCATGGAACATTGAAGATCCGACAACATTGAAAATGAAGTCTTTAAGCTGCTTTTGCAATGAAGATATACATTGCGATCATTTTAAGCTCGGTACCATGACATAGTCGTCTAATAAAAAATCTCGTCTCCGAGTCGAGGATGTTTACGGCCCCGATTCAGAGTCCGAAAACGAGACTCCATTTGACATTGAACAAATAATAACTTCATAAGATCACAAGCACCAAATAAAGAATATTCAACAACCGTCGACATCCAAAGAAACGCCTAAAAACGGCGCATTTAGTCTAATTTATAATAAATATGATAAAAAATGTTGCCTGATTTTAAATTTCAAGAACAATCTTTGATAGAAGTTGATTATTTCAATTGTATTTTTTGTTTTATTGCTTCTAATTATCTCCCCTGGTCAAATACGTATCTACCCTGATCTTCATGTCTCTACCCTGTCTGATGTATTTACCCTGGCCCTCTAAAAAGTGACAAAATATGTTTTAAGTAACTTGCCCTTACGTGAGTAGTTACATAAACGGGCCAAAAGTCATAATATATATATATAATGGAAAAACTACAACTTTTCTCCTTGGCCGTCTCCTCCATAGACGAAAAACCTCTTATATAAGAACTACCCTATTATTGGTTTCCATGGCAACCGGTGGGCACAGGAGCTGGTTACTTTGGAGGTAGCGGAAGTATGAATGTCTCCCGGTACTAATAATTGCCTGGTACACGTTGGTACCAAATTTGCTAGTTCATATGTGATTAATGGGAATAATGGAACCATAATTCACATGTGTTATGTGAATTATGGTTAAACCCAAACAAAGTTAAAAATGTCTTATTTAAAAATCTAATATTTTAAGTCGTAAACAGATTTAACGCTTGCATATAATGTATATAAATGGTAATAAAGTTGGTCAAGAAATTACGAAAAGTTTATCTGAGAGATTGTTATCAAGTTAAGAATATTTAATTGATAAGTTTTTTTATAAATATTTCTTGTACTATTTATTTTATTTTATTAAAATTCAAAGATACAAGTCATTGTTATACAGGAAAGATGGCTACAAGAGTTAATTGATTATTTTTGAGTGTTTTAGAAAGTGTGTGAAAATATCTATTGATACGAAACTTAAAAAATATGCAACTCATCTATCTTTACACTTTCTTATTGCAAAAATGTATTGGTCATATGAACAATTCATACTTGAATAACTGTCTAGGACCGCGGTGAATGCAATTAATACATATAATTATTAAATAATGATGCATGTAAAAGAAAAGTAGGCTAAGAAAAATACTCCAGTGAACTAAATCTTAAGCTTAAGTACTAACTGCAGTCAAAAATTATTTCTATATATGTATGTACAGCATTGTGCAGTGTTGGCCTAGCGGCTGCAGCGTGCAAGGTCGAGGTCGTCCCTGAGGTCGTAGGTTCGTTTCCCTGCTTTGCACCAATGGACTTTCTATGTGCGCATTTAACATTCGCTCGATCGGTGAAGGAAAACATTGTGAGAAAACCGGCTTGCCAGTTGCCTTAGACACAAAAAGTCGACGGCGCATGTCAGGCACAGGAGGCTGATCACCTACTTACCTATAAGACAAATGATCATGAAACAGATTCAGACACCTGAGGCCCTGACAAATGTAAAATGGTTGTAGCGCCACTGGTTTATTTTTTATTGCATTAAACTTTTAGACAAATGTCTAAATATTCTATGGAATGCTTTCTTTGTTCGATCGCATTTCAAAATTGTAAGTCATAAAAAAACGAGCGTTTCCTACTTTTACGAGATGGGTAAAAATAAAACAAACCGTTACCGAGGTCAATGACTTTAATAACTAAAATATCTAATTAAACCAAAATATTTTACAAAAATAGTTCGCTTCTAACAACAACAAAAATTATTAGTATTTTAAGAACGTACAAAAATATTTATTTTTAAAAAATCTAAAAAAATATTTATCAGCCTTTACATACCGACTTGACATCGAGTTATTATAATAGTTTATTAATGTTAATTTATATAACGCTTAGAATTTGTTATACCTAATTAATATAAGAAATAGGGAAGTAGTTAATAGAATTTCTCTACAATAAAGAGATGAGATGAAGAGAAATTTCAAATATAGCATACCATTCACGCATAGTAAGCAAATAGTAAATAGTAAGCAAATAGTAGTAGCAAAATAATTTTACAAAAATAAATCTACAGAGATCAAAAATACTAATTTTAATTTAACAAACAAACATTATTATTTTTTTAACGTTAATTAAAGTAAATAAACATTAGACACTATTAATTATGGCCAGCATAACTACTTGTCGTTTTAAAATAAGATTTGAAATAAAACACTACAAAAGTTCGCGCATAGTTTCTCTCAAAAACATGAGCCAGTTCACCAATTACGCGACATCATTCTTAATGCAACTTATCATATTGTGATTAGTACACAAGCAATGAATTCTAGATCACCATAAAGTTATAGGTGTTTAGAGTGTGTCTAATTATAGTTCAACCGACTAATTTTAGTAGGTCGTCGCAAATAGTGATCAACTCTTCGTTCGCTTTAGTTTTCTGCGCAATCGTATCCTCGAGGGATGATATTTGTAAATCCTTCCTTTTCATCATTGCCTGTAGTTTCAAAATCTGGGCTTGGTGACCTTTTTTCAACTTTTCAAGATCTTGATTTGCGTAGTTTATCCTTTCGATAGCGTGTTGCTTCAACACTTCATATATGTTCTGAAACTTCACTTGATTATCTTCAGACTCTTGAAGTGCTTTTTTCAGACAGTCTTCATTCGCTTTTAGGCTTAAAATAATTTTTTTACTCTTTTGATATTTGCTGAGCAAGTCGTTAAATGATAATTCTAAAATTGATAAATGCCCAGTTAGTTCCTTATGGTTTTCAATACGTAGCATTCGTTGTTCAGCATGCTGCTTCCTAGACTGTTCGAGTTCAGCAATTAAAGTTATAATTGTCCATTCATATTTTTCAACAACAGTCACCATATTTTTTTTTTGTTCATTTTTTTCTGATATTTGATTGCTTAAATCTTTTATTTTTCTTAGTCTGTCTTCATTTTCGTATTCTAAAGTTTTCACTCGAGATTCCAACGCACTGAGCCTGTTAGTTAGTTCTTTACGTACCTTAAGCTCCGTATAAGTTTCATGATCTACAGAAGCTTGTGTATTGTGTACTTGATTATTATCATTTTTTGCCTCTATTCCAGTAGTTGTAAGTGGTGATTTAAGTAGTTTAGATTTTGTTTCAAAAGGATTGTCGAGAACTACAGTACATGTACTTTGGCTGTTGTTAATATTTTCTACTTCTAAATCATCTTGATCTAATTTCTGAGTTATGCAGAGAGGTTCTTGTGTTTCAGTAAAATTTATTTCGAAGACTTCTTTTGTTATATCACATTCATTTATAATAGTTGAATTGGAATCTAAAGCTTTCATAACATTTATTTCTACATTAAAATCATTTTTTAAATCCGTTATCCAATTTTCTTCCGTGAGGTTATTATCTCCTGTTATTGTTGAATTTGGTAATCTTAGTTTATTGAGCATTATGTTTTTATCGTTAGCTAAATTTGCAGAACTGTTAAAAGTTTTATTTTCAACTTGTGCATCACATTTTTTATTATGTGCAGAAGATTCATATTCCTTTTTTGATAAAGCGGCCTGTATAAAATCTTCTTGGGGTGTATGATCATACATAAAGTGAGTGCTACTAACTTTCTTCGAAGAGCCTTCAAAAGCCAATATTTGGTTTTCATTTAGTATATCAGGTTGCAGACAAACTCGTTCATCATTAAAAATATTATATTCAGAAATTATATTTTTAGTCTCATAGAATGGCTCTGATATAGAAACAGGATGTTTTTGGAAAGAGTTGTGAGCCTGATATTTTAAATCACTATTTATAATATTTGTCAGGGATTTATTATTTTTGACACATACAATTAAACGTTCTACTATATTGTCTTTGCTTACATCTTTCTCTATATTTTGGTTGTCAAATGTATTATTACAAATTTCAGTGCTGTCAGTAGCCTGAATTAACTGAAGAATGTTTTTAAGGTCAATTTTGTTAATAATATTATCCTTTACATCACCAATATCAGTATACAAATCATCCATTGTTTTTTTTTTATATATTGTACAATTATCATGCAACATACCTGACTCAATAGCAGCTGTGCTAACCCGAATACTACTTTGATCTTCCAATACACTTTGGTCTGCACTTATGCAATCAACATCACTTTTGTTAACTATTTCACTTTCTTTCAAAGTACAATTTCTTTTTGAATTTTTCATAGGAATGTCTTTTATTGGAGTTGTGGCTTCTGGGGTATGACCCAAAGATGAAGATGGTAATGATAAGCTTTCCATATCCGCTCCATCAATATTCAGATTTATATTACTTTTATCATCAAATGACCCTTTGTCAATGGTATTTTTATTAAAGTCTGTACACCGACTGGTTGTTATAGATTGTAATGGCATAGACTTTGGTGATTTTAATAAACCATTGCAATTGGCTAAAGTAGAGTTCAATGATCGTGTTAGGTTGGAGTTACTATTTACTATGTGGTGGTCTTCAACGTATGAAATTTTCTTATCAATGTTAGCAGTAAAAGTTTTCGACATTGATGAAGTTCTTTGAGTAAAAGAGCATAAATGTTTCACCTCTGACACATCCAAATACTCATGCACCTTTTCAAAACACGGCGACCTTGGCAAAGCATTATTTATGTGGAATGTATTCTCCTTGTTCTCAAAGTCACTTTCAATAACGTCCAAGTCCATAGGCTCTACGCGAGCCATTGTTCATTAACTAAATTTATTATTTTAATTAAATAGTCTATGCACTTTTTACAGTCACATTAAGTTATATCTTATTAAAACAAAGACATGTACGAAGTTTGTCAAAAATTAAAACAAAAATACACGAAAACGCAATTCACTCTGAATAATCGATTTTTAGCTCTTTTATACACGAAGTCACTCGATGATCATATTATAATATAAAACATAAGCGCCCGAGGGAATTTTGCCAAAACGCATAGCCGTTACGATCTCACTCAAAGGAGGATTACAACAAATTTAAACGCACGTTTATAATTTTTCAAACAGCAACGGGCAGTCGATGAATAATCGTTGTCAATGTCTCTGATCTCACATCTAATGTTTATAACAGATTACATTATTAAGCTAACAACTAGATCTATTACTATTTTTTTATTAACTTATATAAATCTAAGATGTTAATTGCTGAAATAAAGTATACTTTAAAAATATTTTTTTTTATATAATATATGTATATTTAAATTTTTAACATTAATTATCTTTAGACACCAAAATTACTTGGACTCTGCTGCTGCTCTAAATAAATGATCAACATAGTAATGTAAACGAAAAATAAATAAGTTTACAAAACTAAAAAGTATTATTATAAAGATAGTCTGTGGTAAATACAAAAAAAATGTGAAGTGTGCTTTTTAGTGACTTTTCGAGAAAAAAGTCAATTTTCAATCAATTTTGTAGTGAAGTTAGAAGTGCAGCCGTAAGACGTATATAAGTTGTAAATTGTAATCACAGAGTCATATTATATCTATATCATCTATATGGTTGTCATCTGGGGGTCTAGCCAAGATGGCTTAACAGTAGTGTATGTAGAAAGTCGAAAACTAAATTTGTATGAAAATGACAGCTCGTGTCGACAGTCGGTAGCCTAGGTCCTAAAGGCGTGAGTCGGGATACAATAAGCGACGCCATGACAGTGCTACGAAAAGACACACATTAACGCTTACGCTATTCGGTAGCCAACGGCCAATTAATGTTTCGGCAGTGTAGAAAAAACGGCGTTTCTCCGCCATGTTTTAGCGTGATCTCAAAAGCTGCTGTTTGCAATAATTCAGTACAACTATCGCCATTTTTAATGGCTACTGTTTTAAAAACATGTCATATTTTGGACATTTTAACGAAATGGTTTTAATTTGTTATCTGTCTTTTTTTAACGTTCTCGTGTAATTATAATATTTTAAACTAGAGTTAATATTTTTAAGTTAAGAGTTTGAGTTTTTCTATGAATCAATGCGAGGATAACATAATAGACACAGATAAATATGAAAATATCAAGAAAATCAGCAAATTAGTAGAGGTAAATCCTAGTTATATTGGATATCTTTTATTGATATTTATATTGCATGTAAGTTCATGAAATTGTTCTTTAATTTGAAAAATACATATACCATTTAATATTGCATATATTATGTAATCACAAAGTAAAATGATTGTACATTTTATTTGTATATTTCAGATGAGAAAGCAGTCACTAATGAACATAATTAGAAGTTCTAAATATATTTTATTGTAATTATAATAGAAGCTGATAATGATATAATATTGATTTTAATTAATCAAATAAAGTGGATTTATACTTTATGAACTTTGGAAATATAAAATCTAGTGAGCAATACTAAGTAATGGTAAGCAGATATTTTCTTTAATTATTTACTAAGTCAATATACTAGAGAATTTATTATAATATTGTTAATGAATGAGAAGTTTGAATTCAAGTCCCTTGGGAGTTACTGACATTGTTGGGTTATTAAAAACTTTAATTGACAATAAGCAGCAAAGTGACAAATTAAGTATATTTTTAAGTTTAGAATTAAGTAAAGACTTTTAATATTAAAGTTACGTATTGATCAAAGCACTAACTAAAATATTTTATTTTCAGAAAAAGAGAAGCTAATAAGGCAACTAAATATATTAAAAAAAACCACAAATGGACAAGTTTTTATTAAAGTCTTATCTTTTAATTAATTAAAGTGTTATATTATGTACCTGAAAATGAATTTGATAATGGGGAACGAAGCATTTTATGAATAATGTAAAATATAAGACAAGTGGAGTATGAAATAATGGTTGGTTAAGTAACATTACCTCAAGAACAGGAAACAGTAACTGAAACTATGTTCTTCCACATTTAATCTTAATAAGTTCAGCAGTTTGAATGTTAATGAGATATTATTATAAACAAACTGCATTTGTAGATTTTGGGAAGAATTATATCTTTACAATAACTATTATTATTTACAATTGTTGTGTTAAGGAAACAATCACTATTTTTTTTAATCGCCCAGGATGTATTCATAGTAACTGTAGGTATCATAGTAATTTTATGAAATCATCACAACATTTAACGTTAGGTTTTATGAATTGAACAATTTTTTGTATATAACAGCACACAAACAAGATATTGACATTGCTGCAAATTAACACTTACATTAGTTAAGTATCTACATATATGAATACATCTACATTAGGTTGTAATGCATTTAATTTGGTGCACCTGCGTGTGTTCAGTAGTAATGTCTGTATTGTTTAATAAGTTGTTACATATGCTTATTTTCCTATGTAGACTGCATTATGTTAAGGAAGATATTTGGTGCCTTATTTTAATAAAAAATAACCATAACTGAAACATTTTTATTTTGCTACCTGTTTGTTTAACATTCCTAACTATTAGTAGGTATGGGTCATTCATATATCTGTATATTCTTGTAAAATAAACTAATATTTTGAACCACTTTGCTTTGTGACCAATGGCTTTTCCTACTAAAGAAGACATAGGTAAATTACCTAAAATAAAACTGACAAATACATAACATACAATGTTTATTCATTTCTTAAACAGATTTTGCATTTACATATTAACTAGTAGCAAATCACTGATATAACCAAAAGTTAAGTGACATAAATATTAACTTTAAATCAGCATCAAACTTAAATTTATATCTAAGATGTTGGAGCATCAATATGGAATCAAAGGTTGATTAAGGGTTATAATTTCATACCAGACTAAGTTTCTATTTTATAATTTTTATTAATCCCTCTTTTCATTTAATTGAGTACTTGCTGTTTTTCAATTCTCACTTTCTAAAAGTATAAATATATTATAAACAATCAACCTTTATGACTCTAACTTAAACTGAAATTGTTTGTTGAACATAAACAGAGATAATTCCAACTAGTAGCAAATCACTAATAAAATCTACACTTATATATAGGTAAATGTGCTTTCAAATCGACATTAAAAATGTTCAAGAACAAACACCAAACCTAATTAAAGCTTAAATCGAACTCTAATTTCAGTGTTCACACTAGTCTACGTTTTTTTTCTATTGTTTTTTATTTCCTTGGACTTTATCAACTTCTAGTCAACCTTATTTTCACTCTTTATATATCAATCCACAGTACTATTTCTATTGTTTCTTATAAACGGTAACAAAATATGTTGCTTCTTCATTTTGCAGATTAGTTGTGAGGTCAAATCCGAAAAATATCAAAGTATGAGTACTACTAATTATTATATATCGCGATTATGCAATTTCAAAATATTGTATTTATTTGTAGCCTTAAATTTCTGAGAAAACATGAAACAAACCATAATTAATTTAAACATGCAATTAAAATTCATATATTCACTTTGCATCTTCCGTAATTCCACTTAAATCGAAAAATTTTCCGACCTTGCTAACATTCTAATGTCCCTTTTGCAGCTTCCAATTGCAAATTTACAATAATATTGTAAAGTTTTAACTTTTATTTGTTTATAAAAGTGACATTAGGAATACATTTAATCCAGAGACAATATGACGGAATAAGGTGCTACGAACAGCAGCTCGCATCTACGCTGTCGACTTTGCGGTAATGTATCGACATGCCTCTTGGCTACGAACGAAGCGTTTTCGACAATACAATTACGCAAAAGCGGTAGTGTATGTAGAATACTTTTCGACACCAATATGGCTAGACCCCCCTGACATCTCTAGTATTCTGTGTCAACTGTCAATCCGTAACTAGGGACCTATAAAGTATAATGGTGGCGGTGGCACTCGGCGAGAGCCTCTCGCGGCTCGCCGAGAGTCTCGACCGGGAGGACCGAGAGAAGAACGCAGCCTGTACACACTCGTTACGTTAATTGTATTTAAAACACCGTTAATAATGGACATGGAAACCGCTGCTGCTGTTTGTCTTTGTGCAATAAGTTATTATAATTTTCTTCACGTTTACCATTAAAAAAAAATACGAAGCCATGGCGAAGAAGAAGATGGTGACTATTCACTGCAACAGAAATTGGTAATTAGGATCATAAAGTTTTAATATTATCCAAAATTGAGTGATTGAACGAGTGTGTACAGGGGGTCTAGCCATATTGGTGTCGAAAAGTATTCTACATACACTACCGCTTTTGCGTAATTGTATTGTCGAAAACGCTTCGTTCGTAGCCAAGGCCCAAGAGACATGTCGATACATTACCGCAAAGTCGACAGCGTAGATGCGAGCTGCTGTTCGTAGCACCTTATTCCGTCATATTGTCTCTGGATTAAATGTATTCCTAATGTCACTTTTATAAACAAATAAAAGTTAAAATTACAATATTATTGTAAATTTGCAATAATTGCAAATTCCAATTATTGGAAGCTGCAAAAGGGACATTAGAATGTCAGCAAGGTCGGAACAATTTCGATTTAAGTGGAATTTACGAAAGGTGCAAAGTGAATATATGAATTTTAATTGCATGTTGAAATTAATTATGGTTTGTTTCATGTTTTCTCAGTAATTTAAGGCTACAAATAAATACAATATTTTGAAATTGCATAATCGCGATATATAATAATTAGTAGTACTCATACTTTGATATTTTTATGATTTGACCTCACAACTAATCTGCAAAATGAAGAAGCAACATATTTTGTTACCGCTTAGAAGAAACAATAGAAATAGTACTGTGGATTGATAAATAAAGAGTGAAA